AAAAAGAAGGTAAATAACATGTATAACCGACTTTTACGAGTTGGGACTGAGTTGACTCGGCTGAAAACTCGGTTTGACCACTAATCACTAAAAATCGCATAATTTTTCGCTCGGACCTCCGTTTTTGACGTGGTTTTCGCTCACGCGTTTGTAAAGAGATAATCTACAACTTACAATAGAAATATCTCAAAAATATATTCCAATAAAAGTCAGTTTTTATGTATCTGTAACGTAGATATTGATGTTTTTGACCCGTTTCTCTCCAATTGTTTTACCCCGGGCCTCGTACGATGATTCCGACTATTTCATATATACTACATCGCATTCGGGTTTGCGTCCAAATTTTATATTTTGATCACATAAACACGTATAAAGGGGATAATTGCAACGTATTTGCGAAAGTGTATGTTACAATTACCTCATCCTTTTGATGATTCTGTCCTCGGTATCTTCATTTCTCGAATAGCTCGGGATATTTGGCAAGCATTTGTTCTTTGTTCTACCACGTGCAACTCGGACCACGATGATGCTTCCATTTCACTAATACCAAATTGATTGTCTTGTTTCGAAGATTTGCCGTTCTTTCGTTTAGAATTTCTTCTGGTTCCTCGATATATCTCAGTCGTTCGTCAATATTCACCTCAGCTAAGGGAATTGTTTCATCATACTTACCCAAACACTTTCGAAGATATCCAACATGAAATACATCGTGAATACCAGACAGCTCTTCTGGAAGTTCAAGTCGATATGCTTGTTTGCCAATACGTTCAATGATTTTGAATGGTCCAATGAAACGTGGACTAAGCTTACCTTGCTTACGAAATCATAGAATACCCTTCCAAGGGGAAACCTTCAACATAACCATGTCGCCCACGGTGAATTCAATTGGTCGTCGACGATTATCGGCGTATGACTTCTGTCTGTCCTGAGCGGCTTTCATCCTTTCTAGAATAACTTGAATCTTATCATGCGTAATTTGAATCATTTCGGGTCCAGCAAGCACTTTCTCACCCGTCTCATGCCAACACAGTGGAGTTCGACATTTACGACCATATAAAGCATCAAAAGGCGTCATACAGATAGTCGAGTCATAACTGTTGTTGTATGCAAATTCAACCAATGGTAGATGCATATCCCAACTACCACCAAACTCAAGGATACACGCATGCAACATATCTTCTAACGTCTGTATCATGCGTTCGGACTGGCCATCAGTTTGGGGATGATAGGTTGTGCTCAATGCCACGCGTGTCCCTAGTTCTCATTGTAAAGTGGGCCAAAATTTTGAAGTAAATCGTGAATCTCGATCAGAAATTACCTTCAGAGGAACACCATGTCATGCAATAATCTCGTCGATATAAATTTGTGCCCATTTATCCATAGACTACGACTCTCGAACAGGCAGTAAGTGAGCACTTTTGGTTAAACGTTTCACGACAACCCAGATGCTGTTGTGCAGACAAGACGTCTTCGGTAGCTTTGTAACGAAATCCATTGTAAGTTCCTCCCATTTCCACACCGGTATATCGAGAGGTTGAAGTCTACCATAAGGTTTTTGGTGTTCAGCTTTAACCTGCGAACACGTAACACATTGTTCCACATATCGGCCGATATCACGCTTCATTCCCGGCCACCAATATTCATATCTCAAATCGTAATACATCTTTGTACTGCCCGGATGCACGGACATCCGCGACTTATGTGCTTAAGATAATACCAATTCCCGAATACCACCGAGTTTTGGAATCCAAACACATTCCTGAAGACTTTAAGTCCTCGACTATCATCTGTCAGATACGAAACATAACCAACTATACGCTCTTGTTTCACACGATCAGGCTTCAAAGCCTCTACTTGCCATTTCCGTATGTTGTCAACTAGTGTGGATGTCACGGACGTATGTGTAATAGCATAACACATGGAGTTTGCATAAGTCTTCCGGCTTAAAGCATATGCAACAACATTAGCTTTACATGGATGATAGAGAATTTCACATTCATAGTCTTTAATCAGTTCCATAGCTCATTGTTGCCTCATGTTCAAAGTCTGTTGAGTGAATATATACTTCAAACTCTTATGATCTGTGAATAGTTGACATTTGGTACCATATAAGTAATGACGCCATAATTTTAGTGCAAAAACGACCGCTGCCAACTCAAGATCATGAGTTGGATAGTTCTTTTCATAATCTTTCAACTGTCTCAAGGCGTATGCAATTACATTGCCTCGCTGCATAAGAACACAACCGAGACCCAGTTTAGAAGCATCGCTGTAAACTACCAGGTCGTCACTACCTTCTAGTAAAGCTAGAACAGGAGCATTTGACAAACAAAGCTTTAACACCAGAAAAGCATTCTCTTGAACTTCACCCCATTCGAACTTGACATCTTTCTGGGTCAACGAAGTTAAAGGCACAGAAATTTTAGAGAAATCTCGTATGAATCGTCTATAATAACCCATGAGTCCAAGAAAACTACGAATCTCAGATGCATTCTTAGGTTGCTCCCAACTCTTCAACTTCAACTTTGGACGGGTCAACCGACGCACCGTCACAAGAAATCGTATGACCTAGGAATTGCACCTGATGTAGCCAAAATTCACATTTCGAAAATTTAGCATATAGACGCTCTTGTCGAAGTGTTTCACACAAATGATTCACGTGATCCGCTTCAGATTTGGAATATACAAGAATATCGTCTATAAACACGAGCACAACATTGGCCGGCACACACGATTCATCATATCCATGAACGCTGCAGGTGCATTAGTTAAACCGAATGTTATAACTAAAAATTCATAGTGGCCATAACGTGTACGGAAAGCCGTTTTTTGATTCATCTTCTTCACGAACTCTCAGTTGATGATAACCCAACCGTAAATCAATTTTAGAGAAGTAACTCGCACCTTGCAATTGGTCGAACAAATCATCGATACGCGGAAGTGGATATTTGTTCTTGATCGTTACTTTGTTTAACTCACGGTAATCGATGCACATACGCATTGAACCGTCTTTATTCTTGACAAATAGTACTAGAGCACCCCAAGGAGAAGTGCTCGGTCGGATAAAACCTTTATCGAGAAGTTCTTACAGTTGATTCTTCATTTCTTTCATTTCAGCCGGAGCCAGACGATATGGCGTCCTAGCAATCGGCGTTGCACTAGGAATTAAGTCAATTCAAAATTTAACTTGTCTATCAGGAGGTAAACCGGATAAGTCCTCGGGAAATACGTCACTAACCATTTTCTTTACCTCTTTCGACGCATCAAAAATATAGGCTAAATAGGAAGAACAACCTTTAGATAGGTGTCTTCGACCTTTAAGCGTAGAAATCAACTTTACGTCCTCTTTACGCTTTTCACCGTAAACATATAAATAGTCGACATCGTTCGGTATACAGATTATTCATTGAAAACACAAAATATCAGCCCGATTCTTAGCCAACCAATCCATACCAATAATTATATCAAAGCTAACACACAATCTTTGTAAACTTTATCAGCTAGCATAGATGTGCCATCAGCAGTGTCAACGTAAAAAGATTTAGCAAGCACATATGGCACAAAGTTTAAACATCGAGCAAACGTATGAGAAACGAATGAATTAGTAGCACTAGAATCAAATAAGATACGAGCGGGATGAGAATTAACGAGAAATATACCCATAACCACATCCGGTTTATCTCGAGCTTCCTCAGCAGTGATTTGAAAAGCTCTGGCCTGGACGCGCGGTACCTCCTTTTGATGAGCAACACCACTAGTAGAAGGTCGGCGAACAAAAGCCTTACTTTTCTCAGGTTTAGATCGAGGGCATTCTCTTTGACGATGGCCTATAGCACCACTTGAGTAGCATGTCATATCCCTCCTCGGGCAGTTTGGTTTCACGTGTCCAACTTCGCCACAACCATGACATCTAACTTCAGGGCGAACAGTGTTGCATCGGCCCCGATGAGCCTTACCGCAAACAGAACAGGGTGGAGGAGCATTTGAAGTAAAGGCTATAAGCCTGGGACCAAGATTGAGGTCGCGATCTAGCTTGGGATTGAGCGTATCTCGGATTGAAATTCCTTGAAAATTGCTATGTTGGTGCAGATATCGCACCTTCAGTCTGAGGTCGCTTGGCTGGCGGAGCTGGATTACGATCCGAGCGGGTCAAATCGTGTTCGTGCCGTCGTGCCGATTCCACCGCTTTCTCAAACTCTGAAATATCACGATTGGCGATGACATCTCGAATCTCAGATCGCAATCCGTCTATAAAGTGGTCTACACGTTCCTGTTCTGTAGTCAAGAAACGTGTGGCAAACTGTGCTTTATGATTGAACTCGGTCTCGTAGTCCACCACTGACATCTTTCCTTGATTAAGATCAAGAAACTCCTTCTCCAATCGTTTTTGTAGATCAATTGGACAATAATGCTTGTTAAAACGAGTTTTGAAAGACTCCCAAGGCATACCTTTTTTTCAGTTTCACCTTAAGCTGCAAAAGTAGCATTCCACCATATCAAGGCCCTACTTTGGAACATGGCCGTGGCATAATTCACTTTATCATCACATAGCACTCGGGTGATATGAAAGACCTTCTCAGTATTCAATATCCATTCAAGTGCCTCCAACGGATCAAAATCTTCCCAAAGAACTCAGTAGCACCGCTACCACGAAAGGTTTTAAAAGAGACTCGGTCGGTTTTGGGTTTTGAGGTGTCAGCCCTTTCTTTCTCCTTACCTTTACTTTTATCATCTTCAGACTTTCTATCGTCATGTCGTTGTTGGRCTAACGTTTGCTGAATTAATAAAGTCATACGTTGCATCAAATGTTCCCTTCAAGGAGACATCGGTGCCTCATCATCATAAATCTCCAGGTGTGGAGCGTTTTCTCTTACATTGTCGTTAGATGGGGTGTGACTAGCTTCATCACCGTCGGCCATCTTTCTGAAAGTTACGATGTATACATAACATTAAATAGAATCCTATAACAAATTCCCAATTCCTACCAGGGTTTCTCCTAAGTTCGTATCCCGTTTAATCAAAACATACTTACTACATGATACCGACACAAGGTTTAAGTCCAGATATCGTCATTGGTATCCAGTTCACTTAAACCACCGCTCTGATACCAAATTGAAAGACCCGGTTTACATAAATGATAAAAGGTTTGTAATACCTCATTTCTATAAATGATAAACAAACCACCAAAAGTTATATTTTTAAACCTTTAGAAAGCAAACGGGATATAATATTTACGAGTTTCTAATT